AAATTCCCAAAGTTTGAAAGTTTTATAAGAAGTCAGGAAAAAACAATAAGGCAGCTAAAGGAAAACAATAGCACCTATTATTATCTTTTGTCATATTTATAATTTTAGTTGGAAAAAATCATGCCTCACATCATTATTTGAGAATCAAAAATGATTTATTTGTATTTCTTTAACTCATAGTAAATGGGAAAATAGAAAAATATCTTTTGAATAGTGTAATAATGGTACCACAATACTAATTTTCACATGGAATTTACTGTATTAGAGCCATCTGTTTTATAGTAAAATTCTGAGGGTCTGGATGATTCTCTGAAATTTTTGGATTAGGAAGTATATTAAAAATATTGGAAATATACATATATATACACACACATCTATCTATCTATCTATCTATCTATATATATATATATATATATATATATAAAACTTTAGTTGTAGAAATTCTAATGTTATAGTCATCTCAACTTAAAATTTAATGCATTCTGAGACAAATTTCAGCATCAAGAATTCTTTAATTTGTTCTTAGAAACTATAGGTCTAACTTTATTAAAAGTGATTAGTTTTAAGTGCAGTCTTGTGAATTCTACTATTCTTAGAAATGTAGTTTTAAACATGTAGATAGGAATGACCAATTATTTTATTCTCATACTTACTGAGTTATAGATGCCTAATTGTTAGCTGTTAGTAGCTGAGTTCTTATTAGATGTGATGTAAATTACTTACAAGAAAATGTAGATGCACTCTTGATCTGAAGGTACCACCACGGACCTCATGATTGCTTATCAGGCACCAAAAAACAAAAACAAACAAACAAACAAACAACAACAAAAAAAAAACATTCTTAAACTGGCAGTTTTGAGGATTTTTAATGATTTTAGGCTGATTGATTATTTATTGCTGATTTAACAAAAATCAAACTGAAATTATTTCTACCAAAAACATTAACAATTTTTGTATATTTTTTAAAAAGTAAATGTAAAAATTATATTTGGGCTTGGATCATACCATTCTTTTATTCAAGAAAATTCCCTTGCTTTAGAAAGTTATTTAGGGGAGAAACAGAAGATATTCTTTTAAGCTTGAAGGTCATTTTGTATCTGGTCTGTGTGTGGATAAATTCTGTGGATTACCATGCTTTATAGCAGTCCCAAAAGGAAAGGGGGTTGGGGGGCTGCAGGTTTCTCCACAGCCTCCTGGGAGCGAGGCTGCTGTTTCTTGATGTTTGCACCTGCATGAGCAGTGAAGGCTGTCTTAAACAATGCCTATCAACTCTATTCTATTCTTTACCTCCCTCCCCTCTTCTCTTCTAGGGAAATCTGGCTTTCCTGTCACTCAGGATAACTATCCCCTGCAAGCATCACTGAGATCCAGAAAGTCACTGTAATCTCATCAAGAGTGTGATTCCCCAGCTGGGACTTTGAATTTATATAACCTGAAGGTAGCTGGTCAGGCCACTTAATCTCCCATGTTGTTGTGCTGAGCCCCCAAACCATTTAAAATAGTCCTCTTACAAAGATGACCTCATTAGTTGACAGAATTAGTGAAGATGTACCCCCAAATTTGTAGAGTAACTTATAATTGAACCCAATATTTCACCTATGAATACAGTGTTGCTTTACTCTGCTTGACTAAAAGAACTCAGTCCAGACCTCAAGTAAATTTCTAGTGAGCATAATGAAAATTGGGTAGAAGGTAATACATTGGTTTTGTGTAGCTTCTCAGATTCTAAAGAGTTTTGCTATTTTTATAACCTTGAAATGAAACTGTTAGGGAAACTGTTTTATAAATTTCTGGTGAATACCCTGAGAATTTGTTCCAATTAATGCACTGGTGATTTTCCTAATTTTTCTCACATGTTTTATTTTAGGTGATTTCCCAATTAATCACTTTAGGTTTTATGACCTTAAATATCTCAACATAAAGGAAAAATAATTCTTCAAGTGTGCATCACTACTTACCTTCTCACTTCTGCAATGAATTGTCACTATATCATAGTCCACAGTAATATCACAAAAGAGCACCACTGAGATACTATTTTATGACACATTATTTTTGCCTGAAAACCTATGCTCTGCTTTCCTCATACTTGCATTGTTTAATTTTTGGTAATACCAAGCATTGAGAAACGGTTATCTTTTCCTTTACAACAATGACCTTTGACACTGGGTGGAATTTTATAAGCTTGCTTTTTAAAAATATTGCAAATAAAATTGAGTATTAGAAAGGGGCACAGTAAGAACAAAAAAATCATAAAGGAGATTTTTAAAGTATCCTAGATTTTTAAAATCTAGTGTATCTAAACATAAGGACTTCAACTCATTTAAAAAATCTACTTCATATATTTTTTCTGTTTGTCTTCATAAACATATATGTTTATCAAGATACAAGATTACATAAGTATATATTTATAATCTTGTTTCCAGTTGGCATCTGAGAGTAAGTTGGCATCACTGCTATACATATACACATAAATGTGAATATATATGAATATATATGCACATGTTTATTTTTCATATGTGAAACCATAGATCTATAATTGCATGGATATACTTGGATCTGATTTATCTTGTTAAAAATGACTACATTTATATAAGTGTGCATACTTATACAAAATTTATTCTTAGTTGGCATCAGCCAGCAAGTTAGCATCTGGTATAAACTTTGAAGTTTTCATTTACTACATATGTGTGTGTGTGTGTGTGTGTGTGTGTATAAAATACGAATATTAGAGTGGGTATGTTATGTTTCTTATTACTTTGTGTAACTCTTTAGTAATGATTAAATAAATATAATCACAATATATAATTGTGACTTTTCAATTCAAAGGTTAATTTGGAAAAGTAGTAAAGAAATTTTTCTCACCAACTATATTCAGTGATGAGAATCCAGGTGTACACAGTGAAGTGGAGGGGCGAAAATCAATTAAATGATCAGGATAAAGAATAAAATATTAATAAAATCTACCTTACTTTCACAAGAATAGTAGACAGTTCTGTGCTTTGAAAAGACACTTCACAAGTTGAAGTTTTCATATATTTGCAAACTTAAACTTGAGCTCAATAAATTGCATATCATTAATTTATTCTTTTTTAAAAATGTTTTTAGTTATAAATGAACACAATACTCTTATTTTATTTATATATTTTATGTGGTGCTGAGGATCGAAACCAGTACCTCACATGTGCGAGACAAGCACTCTGTCACTGAGTCACAATCTCAGTCCCTTATTAATTTATTCTTAATACATTCATTTTGAAATTTGTTTTGGTCATGAGGACAATTTTTTTAATTGTTTTTTGTGCATATAGTGAAAAGCAGATTTACTTTCCAAAATGCTTATTTAATTTGTTTAAATTTCTAATTACATCTTAATTAATATACTTTAGTTTTAGATGACATTATTACAATAGGCAAATGTTAACCAAGCAACTCATATGAGACAGTAAATAAAAGCTAACCCCAATTATCAAAGCATTTGTAGTAGAATTTTTCATGTAGTTTCTGAAATACAAGATCAAGTGCTATTAACATTAAGATGTCTATGGCAAGGTGTGTGTATGTGTGTATGTGTGTATTGTCATGATTTTATATATATTCTCTCAATATTGTATATATTCTCTCAATATTTGGCAACATTTAATATATCAATTTATATTCTTCTTTTTAACAGCCATCTTATAATTTTCACAGACTTGTCAGACTGGTCTGAGGAATAAACCAATTGTTTCATTTGCCTCTATAGGAAAATATACCCATGGCTTGTTCCTTATATACCTTCATTACTAATGTGATTATTTTATGTATATCATTAGAATGCATGCAAATAGAACAGGTTAAGGCATTTTAAAGCTGAATTATGGAAATATTAATATACAGAAGAAAACTAGGTTCAACTACCAATTTATTTAACAAAAAAACACAACTCATATTACAGATAATCTTTTGTTGGAAGGATTATTTATACTTTCAGTGTAAGATTGTTATTCTTTTGCACAATCTTTTCCAGTTTTTTCCTTTTTTTTATGGTACAAAAGTGTAGTCAAGCTCCAGTGAGTATCACTAGTCAGTATCAGTTTGCTTCATATACATCAATTTGTTGAAAGTATAGACTCACTCACTTCAGTGATATGTCAGTATAGTTATCATTAGATTATTTACAGATATATTTTTAGCATTTAGTAATTGATAATGATACAGGTAATACTGTTGTGATAATTTTTGTTATCCAGCTGTAAAAGAAATTATCCAGAATAAAGAGTTACTTCACTGAATTCTGACATTAGCCTTATATAGATTGCATACATATGTATATATTGTGATTTTGTACATAAAAAAACAGTGATTTAAATTTAAATTTAAATTTTTGGTCACATCTTAACTAGTATGGTTAAAGGTAGAGTAATTCAATTATAGTCATTTTATCTGCTTTTAATGTGTATTTGTCACACATTAAAGACCACATGCACGGCTGATTATCTTTTGAAATAGAAAAATAATTAAATGAAGAACCATCAAGAAAAATGATTAATGTCAAAGGTTAACTAACAAAAATGAATCCTTTCCTATTCCATGATGGGTTTGTGCCATCTGCATGTATGTTATCCTGACAGTAAGATGATCCACTCAAAATTATACAGGCATCCTGCAAGGTAGATGAAGGTTTTAAGTATATATGTTGGCCAGTCTTTCTATTTTTGGTTAATAGCTCGAACTTTTCCTTTATTTTAATTGCTATACCTATTCCAGGCCTTATTTCCTATATTTCTAAAGACCAACATGTTTTAATCATTATTTCAGTTAATTAGCATTAAGCTTAATATTCTGATTTTCCTAATGTGCTAAGATCGAACATTTCTTTTTTATTAGATGTTGAAATATACAAGTCATTATGTTGTGTATATTGCTGACTAAAAATATTGCTGGAGTGTAAAGGAGAAAAATCTAATTTTATATTGGCATAGAAAGAAAGCTTAACTTGTTTTCTTGCTCTTTTTTTATAGAGAACACCTGTTCCCAGCGCTGAAGCATTCCGATGGTTCTTTTAAAGCAGTAGTATATCTTATTTTCAAGGCATTTGGAAATGAAGGGCAAACTAATGTCTTGTTTTAAGAAACTGCTTAGTCCATCATTGAAGAAAATATCCAGAAATTATTTTCATTTTATGTATAGGGGTTTCTTCAAAAAAATAAAAAAGAGGAAAAGAAAAAGAAAAAAAGACATAAAAATAATGTGGGAGCTTGGGGAATTGGCCAGTCTATTTCCTTTCAATACACTGATTCTTTCTTTGATGTAATTTAGATATACTAGTGAAGTTGTTGTCTATTTTGAAAGTGGCTGTAAAAAATAAGTTTGGGTAAACCCCTGCTGTAAAATCATGTATCTTTGCAAAGTACATATCTATACTTCATTTTCAAATATATGTGTTTCAGTACTGTAAACTGTACAGATAGCAGCTTGTATTTTGTGTGTTTAGACACAAGGAGACAATCATGTCTGAGCATCTATGGAGATTAACAGTTTGTACACAACAGTATGGTTCTGCAAGTTATATCTGGAGCAATAAATTTTAGCTTTAAATATTTTTTGCCAGTTGTTTCTAGAAGCAGCAACATCACTGGCACTGTTTTGCCATGCATCTTTCCGTAGAGACTCGATGCCAAGTTTTACAAGACTAAGAGAACGATGCATCCAGCAATGACCTTCAGTTGTATTGTTGTAAGAGGGGAAGATGTTATGAAAGTTTCAATTAATCTTTTGAGCACTATATTAGAGTAGTGGTTATGCACTTGCATTGCTTACAAACGAGCTGTACAGAAGGGTATACCTCCCAAATACTTAGTGTAGTTGACTTGTCTTGGGTTGCACTGTAAAGCGGAGTACTCAGAGTAGTTGGAAAAATGCAGAATCAGTTGTATAATTTTTTTATTAAAAAAAAAGAACACCCAGTGTTTTCTAGGCTAAAGTATAAAGTGTCAGATCTTAGGTGGAGAAATCCATGACTGATTTTTTTTTTTTTTTAACCAGCCAAACATGGGCTGTGTATGTTTTTGTCCTTGTTTATTTTTTGCTCTTTAAAAAAAATTTCTAGGAAAAATAAAAAACTTAATAAAGAATACCCACATGTTTTAAGTCCATGTGTGATATCAAATGGGGAGTTTTATTTTAACAGTCGAATACATTGAGGCCAGCCTTGAGGCATAGCTGGATTTAAGTTAGAAAGAGACACATTTATGAAATGAGGCATTTTGTCTCTATCTTCCTGTCTCATAGTCTCCCAGTTGGACCAATGGTCTTTCCCTGGTCACACAGTGGAATGCTTCATTGCTACCATTCCCATTCCTGTTACTGGATCCTTTCATTCCTGAGACGGCAGGGTCTGGGGAATTTCATAAATGCAAGCCAGCCCCTACAACCCCCCTCAAAAAAATTGAATGCTTCATAATATCTGGGCTACCTTTGAATGTAAGATTTGGTTTTCTTGTGACAGACTTATTATGGCTGTCTCATTAGGACAAACATTATTTGCATTTTATTTTTTGGCTAGACAATAAAAGTTATTTTCATTTTCAGGAATAAAACTTAGTTTAGTAAAAATATATAGAATATGTAATTGCCATGTTATTGCAACTTCTTTGTTCTTCACACACTAGCTGGTTATTTTAGCCCACTATATCCATGAGCCTGTTGAAACATGTTAGAAAATGAATCAGAAGAAGAAAAATAACTTGAGAGAGTAATGGAGAAGTAAGGAGTTTAACTTGTAAAGTTTTGGAAGGACTAGCAGGTGAATATTTTAAAAAATCTAGTTGTAGTTTTGAATGGGAAAAGATAACACAGAGAAGATGTTTTTAAAAAAGCAGAAGGAGCACTTCACTATTAGAACACTTTGAGGAAGAGTGGCTAAGGCACATACAAATGCCAATGTAAAAAACAAATGTGACTTAACTTGCCTAGGGTACCAATACATGGTCTGCAGTTGTGGCCACAATGCCTTTTGAGGACAATTCATTATGTATTACACCCATTTATGTTTAGAGAAGAGAATTAAATAATCACAAGCTAAAATGTGCTGTATATTAATTTCACAATAACTTTCTACTTAATGTATATTCCTTTGATGGTTTCTAGTTAGAATTTATATTTCTGCTATAGGACCAATGGGAGCTATATGAGTTCTTTCTTGTTCCATTTTTATGTTATTTTCTTTTACAGTATTTTTGTTTACCAATTTGCTAATTAACTACAAGTAAGTGAGAACTTACTTTCACACTTGAAGGGAAACTTGCCTTGTTTTTTGTAAAATGACTGTTATAAAAATGAAACAAACTTCTATTCAGGTTTTATTAGGCATACAATAACATAAAGATCTCATAGCAATGTAATAACAGTCTAAAATACATTCTGTATTGCATGTCCTGATGTGTTTTTATTTGTCTGCTTTTTTAAAGAACTAATGAATCTGTATATTGTAAAGTGTGGTGTTTTACATGTCAGTTCACTTTTTTAATGAAAGAAAATCTGTTGATTACTGAAATGGAACAGTGTAGCTTTTCTTTAATTTCTTTATATTTTTATTCTTGATATTGTTCTTTCAATCACCCACTTTCTGTTTTTATGTAATCTCTATTTATATAATGTAGGATGCATATAAAGTTCTCATTGGTGATGTTGAAGAAAAGATATTACTCTCTGGACTCCCTCTAGCATTCCTCTCCCTATGTCCACATACCAAGAACTTGTAGAACATATCATTATAATCTTAAGGCAGTAACTTGAAGGTTTACACTTTTCATTATCCTAAAATACCAATGAAATGTAACTTTTAAAATTTTCTCACTCTGTGTTTCATATTCAGTATCAAGAAAATTCAGAACATTGCAATCAGAATATAGATTGTGTAGATTATAAAATTTTAAAAGAACATATCAGATAAAGCTAAAAACACTTTGTAAGAGAGGTACACAGACACAGGGTCTTGTCTTCTTGAGGAGATGCCATATCCTGGCAGCATCCTGGGGGAGCTTGGGAAATACTTGGGTACATGGTGTAGTGAGCAGATGTCCTTTTCAACTGTCACTGGGTAACCAAATATCAGAGAATGTCATAATGTGAACCTCTCTTATCCAGAACTTCAGACCAAAGTGACTTTCTAAGCGACTTAGCTTGTCTGGTGGCATATTCAAAAAGTAGTAATATAGCCATCCTTGGGAGACAAAATAGTAGTAGTCTTTACCCCAGTGTAAGCATATATAAAAATATCTCCTGGTTGCCTAATCTCTAACACTCAACTTTCTTCTTCTAAACACGTTCATAGGGAGTAAGAGATGATGGGCTTATTATGAATTAAATAATCACTAAAAGAAAAGAATATTCCCTTCTTTTCTTTCAGAACCCCGGCATGCAAGTTTTGCAATTAATGCTAAAGCATATAAAGTCTTTAAGCTGGTAGTATCTGTAATCAAATAATAAAAAAGGAAAGCAGTTAAATGAACTCACTATTCAGGGTCAAATATGTTCAGCAAAAAGCTGTAGTGGGTCTTTGATCATGGTTAGATTCATAGTGATATCAAACAGTTGGTTCTCATGTAACAGCTAAATGTTTCAGATTTTGTTTTTATTAAATTTGGCATTTCACACTGAGATCTGTATTCCTAGTGAATAAAAGACAGCTACTGTGTTAGGAGGGATTCCATTTTCACAATTGCAAAATAGATATTTCAGGAACATGGGCCACAAAATGTACTCCTTTCACAGTGTTCTCCTATTCTGAACTGTGCAGTTATCTATTAAATTTTCTAATAGATATTTGTGTAAGGTGTATGTATGCTTGTGCAATTATTTAAAAAAGCAGTTTTGGAAAACAGTGTATTTATTAAAGAAAATCACTTATGGGGCATGTACAAAACTGTAAAAAAAAAAAAAAAAGACTTAAAAAAATCACTTCAATTTGCCCAGTAAAGTTGTTTTTGTGAAATTTCTGTGTTGTTGAATAAAGGACTTTAGTATTCAAAATATCTCTATTTTCCATGAACAAATTTTTATTTGTGGGATTTTAAGCAATGAACATACGATCTTGAAGATCTAGTTTTTGTTTATGACAAAAAAGTTCATAATTCTACACTTGCTCTTATGTCAGTGAAATGAATGCTGTGTATAAATCTTTTATAAGGTATGCCAGTGATGTTCATTTTTTTGCTTTTTTAATATATTCTTTCCTTTTTGAGTGAAGAAAGGAAAAAAAAAGACATGATCTTTGTACATTGCTCAAAAAGATGTTTTTGTTGAAAATTTTATAATATCTATAGACCCCAATTTTTCCTCCTTCCTTCTCCATCATAAGTGTGCCAGGAGAAAGCATCCCAGGCATTCTTTGTGTCATAAATGAAAAGTCCTGGCAATAGTACTTGAAAACATGAATGTGCGTGAAGTAGCAGGCTACCTGGAATTCTGTTGTCAGTCACTCCCAGAAATACTCTGAGATGAAATTTTTATTTTTTATTATTATGGAATATTGTGGTTCATCTATGCTGCTTATTAGTTGGTAGTGAATGTTCTTAACCCTCATTTCACTGCTTCTCAACAAAGTTCTAATTTTTTGATGCCTTATGAAATGTAAGAAAATGTAGAACATGGTTTTAAAACTTGAAATTCCTTAATATGATTACAAACATGGGAATTCATACAATTGAAAGAGTTCATATCCACAGAATACACTAGAAGACTTTTATAAATGTATTAAACATTAACATGTGTTCCTCCTCTGCAAATATAAAATATCTGGGTGAGGGCAAACAAATTGGATGACACAGGGTCAGAAAGAAGAATTTAATAATTTCAGTTAATGAGAACTCCAAAATACTCAGCAATTTCTCAGGTAAGTTGCTATGCTTCTTTATTATATTTTGATAATATTGCAACAAAAATATGCTAAAAATATGTAACTAGATTGTTACCAACAGTTCTTTCTTTACTTGAAATTGCCAAGAATGCAAAGACCTGGAGGTTTATATGTAATATAAAAAGAATTCTTTAAGAGAGCCTAAATAAACCAAAAATTTAGAGGGAAAGGGGATAAATTAGTGGAATATCTGTAACTTACTTAGACATTGAGTTCAAATACTAGTTTCATAGTTTTTGCACTTATAGCCTATGCTTCCCAAGTATTTTCATTGGTAAAGGTTCTTATTTCTGTGCTTTATGCAGAAACTACTTTCTTTCCCCTCAACTCTTTGTTTCATGTCGATTTTATGAAAAAAAATGTTAATTTAAGAAAACAAACTTAATATTTTATTTGCATATACTACATAAATAACATGAAAGTCTTGCTGATTTGAAAGTTTTGCTTCTGATCTTTTATTCTAATATCTTGACTTGAGAGCCATTGTTGTGTTCTTTAAAATTCAGATATTTTAGTCTGTTTTAAAATCAGTGTTTCTTAATTTATATATATATATATATATATATATATATATATGTGTGTGTGTGTACATATATATATAAATATACACATACATATATATACATATACATAAACACACACATATATACACACACATAAATTATCCGCCAAATTATCTTTTAGTCAAGTCTTTGCCTTGTTTACAAGTGTATTATGGCAAACGTAATTCTCATTTACAGATGTTAAAAATTTCACAAATTGGAAGCAGTGTACATACTTCCTTCTAAAACATTACCTTTAAAATTACTCTTTTATATCTAAGTGTAAAGAATATACAAGAAAATTAAATGACTTCTTTAATAGTTAGATTGTAGGAGAAATCTGGTTGCCTGGTTTGAATTATGATCTTCTGTTTACAGTTTTTCTGAAAAGTGATCTTCTATTTAAAATTCTATGGCTTTGGGAAAACTGCACAGTTGGAAGGGAAGCTGGAAAGTAAAACATTTAAATTTTACTAGTTAACCTTTGATACTATAATTTTATAATATTAATATTGAATTAATGTATGTATTTATTTTTATATGCATGTATGTGTGTATAGATAGATCAATATATGTATGCATAACATGTTTTTTGGTACAATAGTTTAGGTTGTGCCCCAGAAAGTGTAGGCTATTACAAATCTATTGGAAAGGATTCTCTTAAATATTATACAGTTGTAATTGAATTTGATGATTCAACAACTTATAATAGTTAACCTATTCTTTGAGAATCAGTAAAATTTTGGAATCTACATGGGCTCTTTGGGGGCTTTTTAAGTGTCTTTAATGAGTTCCCACTTCAATTCACTATGTCCTACTTTCAGTCACTTAAGAAAATATGTTGCAAATTATGTGTTCAATTTGTTACCCAAATGCATTATTTATCTTCATACAGTTTGAACATTTCATGTATATTTATATTCTATTAGGCTATTTATATATTTGAAATTTAAATACACAACCAGTAATAGGTGACTTGTTCTGTAGCTTATACGCTTGGACTATACAGAAAAAGATTTCATGTCAAAAGAATACCTAGTGTATGCGGAGCAGCAATGGAAAGACATTGTCAATATTTTTGCATTGGCAGAAACAATTGATTTAATTTCTCATTTATTCAACAAGTGTTCTTGTGTATCTTCAAGGTGCCAGCTACTAGGGATATCAAAATGAGAAAACATGGCTCCTGACATTCATCATCACCTTGGAACTTAATCAAGTGGCTGAAATAAATATTCAAATAGATAAGAAACCATAGATAAAGTTTGGTGTGAAAGTACCTGTCATCATGCAGCAGAGTGACTGAAGATGGTAGGGTCAAACACTCTCATTTCAAATTCTTCCCAGCTGAGGGACGAGGACAAGACTTGATTACTCCTAGGATATAAAACCTGAGATTAAAGTAGTGAAAGCAGAGAGATTGGGGTGGCAGGAAAGAGAAGGAGGATGCGTTCCAACAGCTGAGATAGACTACCACTCTAGCCCAACTAAAACCACCTTGTGGAGATGGTTTTAGTAGACACCACAATATTCTCCTTCATTCATGACTGCCTTCAATATAGTTTATATGCTACAACATGAATAGTCCTAAAACACACACACACACACACACACACACAGTTTGTGTGATTTCATGCTTATGATCAATCCCTTCTAATGGCTCTTGGTAAGAACTTCAAAGTGTGATATGCAAGGTCCCTTTGCAGCTGGATCCTGCAATCTCATGACAGATCAAGTCAACCTTTTATTCTAAGCTCTAGCCACTTAGACTTTCTTTCACTTCTTACACACCTCAGGTGGGTTTTTCTGCTTTAACTCAGGATATTACATTCATTTGTTCTTACTACCCCGTTCCTTTTCTATTCTCCTGCACAATGCATCTTTATTCTTCAGAACATAAAGATGCAATTTTATGAAGGACGTCCTCCCTAACTTCCATGACTGTGTCACATTTATGTATTATAGGTTCTCAAGGACCTGTAACTTTTCATTGCACTTAGTGATAAATTAGTTCATTCAATAAATATTTCCTATGTACTCTCCACTCATCTAAGCAACTACAATATATCCCTGCCCTCACAGAGCGTGTACTCT